TTTTTTAAATTTTACAACAGTTTATTTTTACATCATTTTGTACATTTTTTTTCCCATCTCAATTGTAACCCCCGTGGGTTTCCCATCACCAAGTCACCCGTGTGCCATCACCATAATCCCGCGCACTTCCCTCTCCACCCCCCACCCCCCCGTTTTTTATCCCATTCCTCACTCCATCCCCACAAAATGTCTCTGGTATATGGTTGTTCATTATTTTTGTTATTTTCTTGCCTGAGGACACAGGATTTTTAAGTGCTAATTTTGAAGAGGACGATCCCCTTCCATGCCAGGAACACCAGGACACACAAGCAGTGAGACTATTCAACATTGCCCAGGTCCTCTAACTGGAATCTGGAACATAGAACTGATGGGGATCGGGGTTCATCATTCTCTTTCAGACTTAAAACTTATGTCATATCCTTTTACTGCTCTGCCCCATATTTTGCTTTGAATTTCTACTGTTCGTCCAGTAGGGTGAAGCATGATCCCCAACAATGGGTAAGTGGAAGTCTGAGGTGAAGGTGGTGTTAAGGAAGGATCAGCTATTGTGTGATCCATTTGAACCGAGTGGACTGTCCTCAAGGTATTTTTCCTAATTCAAAAATACATGAGGCATTTGTTGTATACTTGGCAACATGGACAATGTAGGCATATGTCTGTATACTCTCAACTCTCAAAGAGTTGATCATCCTGTGGGTGACAGATACAAATAATAATGAAGACTGCAAGACTAGCTGCGGTTATCAAGAAGATGGCAAAAGGTCATGGGGCTGGGGCAGGGAGAATAAAGGCACCTCAGCTTACTCTGTGCCAGATACTTGCGGCATCATTTCATTTCATATTAATCTTGATTAATAATTCCCAGATGAGGCCCTCCCTGGTGGCACAGCGGGTTAATAAAGCACTGCTCTAAGAAGCTAAAGCCACTTCTGCATGAGTTCAATCCCCGCCTGCCCCGGAGGTGACCACATGGCATGGCAGACCTCTCCTGACCTGTCCGCTGCTCCCCTCAGCAGTGTACTTCATCTATCTGCCTGTTGTGCTCCCCGCTCTGTGTGTGGTGAATCCTCTCACCATCCCTGCACCTCTGGCCTGTACCTAAGTTCTATATCCATAAATAAATAAATCTTTAAAAAAAAATCCCAGATGACAAATTAATCTAAACTATACAACAATTTTATTATTATACTTAAAAATATCAATGAAGAAAACAAGACTCTGAAAAACTAAGCATCTTGTCCACTACTCCAAGTTAGCAAATGAGGGCCAATGTTTAAAGCTAAGTGAGTTGAGCCTTGCCTTAAGCCTTGTCAGTGACTGAGTCTCCTACCCCCTGGGGTAGTGGGCCTGCAACACGACCAGAGTGCTGGACAATCGGTCAGCATCAGACAAAGCATTAGGCTGGGTTTAGGGAGGAGAGGAGTGTGGCCGTGCGTGGTGGAAGCATGTGGAGAACAGGAAGTGGGGCTCACTTTCCAATGTGGAATCCCCGGGCAGGCCTGACACCAGGAATATCCCACTGGAGGTGTGGTAATTCTAGGAATGCTGATGTTCTAAAGGAAGCTGGTTCCTAGCTGCATTCAACTCTAAAGAACATCCCATAAGCATGTGAAGCCAAATGCCTGAGTTCTTTGTTAATCTTCAAAAGCCAAAGATAAGTGACGGTCATTATTTTATACATTTCTGACTACATTTGTAAATTCTTGAAAGCTTATCTTTCTTACACACATAGACCATATTAGGAACTTGCTTTGCATATATAAGGTATCTGATTTATGCAAATCAAATAAAAATGTGTTGATTTATATTTTTGTCTTATTTTTGATGTATTTATTATAACAGTAGACTTAGAATTTGGTACCTAGCACTATCTACTATTGGAAGCGCTCTTTTCGGGGACAATAATTCATGAAGATAGCAGTTTTGGACACTGACCTACTCTAAGTGTAGGGACAATAACACAATAATTATCCAGAGGAATATTCTCCATATCTTTTTCTGTTATGTTATAGGTTTTGATTTGTGTAAAATGAATACATAATTTGAAACAATGAAGCACTAAAAAACATTAATCTGTAATAGTATTAAAATTGATCCACAATTCTAATTAACAAAATATAAATGTAGGATACTGTTTCAAGAAGATTTAAAGCAATGTAAGTTTGGGGTGTAAAGGACACTTTTCTTGCTGTCACTTTCTTCCACTATTAATAATTCCTATTTAATCCAATGGTGGTTTTTTTCTCAGACCCTAAAGTAATTTATACCTAGAACATAGGGCTGTTCAGGGCCTCTTGGAGCTTCAAGGCAGCTCCTGGCACTGCCTGGGGTTAGAAACGCCCTGCCCTTCTTCAGTTATAGAAAATAACTGAGAGGTTTTTGATGACTAAGAAAGGCTTTCTTTACTTGCTAACTTACACACAGCTTTGTCTTACAATGGCCTTTGTGCTTCTGTCTGTAAAGAAGATTGACTTCATCTGATGTTTCTGCTCCTTTCGCGCAGGGAAAGCCAAACCAAATGCCAAGGAGTGCCCCTTCCTTCCAGTGGGTCTTTGGGGGGAAAGTATTTCCCTCCTATGAAAACTTGTCAACTGAAAAGAATGGAATTAAAGTCCCTGGAAACAGCACCCATGTTCTCCAGAGATCATAGGGGATCCTCCTCTTCACTCACAGGGCCTTATCAGCACCTTCTGAAATTAGCGTTATCTACTTGTCTTTTCATTCCCCTGAGCTATCTTGTACAATCTTTGCTTTTCGTGGTAACTATTTACTTAGAGCAGTCACGATACAGGACAAACTAGCAAAACTCAGCCATGATGTCCTTGCACTTCTTCCCACAATAACTGTCTAACTGAATTCAGAGGTAACTCAGTTCCTGCCCCCAGGAGCTTTCTAGAACATTGTGAAAGAAAAAGTGAAGAAAATTAGCTCATTTTAAACCAGTGCTGTATTGTTTCCCTGTGGGGCATGAAGTCCTCCACAGAACTGGTGTGCTGGACAAACAGCCATATCAGACAATGCAACAGGGTGGACTCTGGGAGCAGAGGAGTGTGGCCATGTGTGATAAAGCACCTTGAAGAGAAACACGGGGTGGGGTTCTCACTTTACCCAGAACTCTTGAGTGATGCAAAGAAAATCATTTGTTGTTGTTGTTATATCTTCTCATAGCAAAATAATAGGTTTCAAGTTTAGAAACTTTAAAGGTAATTTATCACCAACTTCTTTTTTTCCATATACCATTACTGTATTATATTAAACACACTGTGTGTGTGTGTGTGTGTGTTTTGGAAAACAGCTACATTCACTTGTATACTGCCACAGCTGTTATGTGTATTTTGATTCTCTAAATTCAGGGGGCCTTGCAGATAATGGAGGGGCTGCCCCTCCCAATGCCAGCCAATTCCCAGAGACTGTGAACAACTCACTCTTGAGTTTATTTACTTATATCAACAATACAACCTGAGTCTACACCTGCAACCACCTCCTCCATCAGGAGGGCTATTATTCCCTGGCCCTTAACCTCAGGGCCAGGCACCACCAACCAGGGACAGACCTTATGCCCTAGAACCTGCTGAAATTATTCAAATCAGTCCATCTTAAATCTATTTACCTGCTCTCACTTACCTCCAGAGAAACTGCAATTAAGCCTCTTGACACATTTCCCCTGCCCCTCCCTCCCCACGCTTGACCAAAGGGCTTGATCATTTCCCTGTGTGCCTTCCCCCCTGCCTGTCTTGATAGGGTGTGCCACCCCCTTTTCTTGGAATCTGCAAACAACACATCTTTTCAGTAATAGCCAGCTCTTAGTCTGTTGGCCTTCCCGGGCATAAAGCACACTAATCTCTATTTAAAGAATATGTACATAAAGAGAAAGACAGGGTAGCAAAAGAAGACAGCCAGGTCCCTGCATTGTTTGTTATTCAAATGGTCTTATATGAAATGTAGCTAATCTATTAGTATATATAGCAAGACTGCCACCTTGTTTCATGGAAAAAAAAACAGTTTTTGTATTGGATACTGTATTATGCTGGATAAGAAATCACTTAGTAGAGCCAACTAGAAATAGCTGTGCTGCAGGCCTCCACGTGAAGATAGCATAAGTCACAAAAGATGGGATTTTGGTGGTCCTTGACTTCTAAAGCACAGATTGAGTACAACTGTAAAGACAATTTATGGAGAAAATCAAGTAATCCTCATTTACCTAAGCAAGTATAGAGTCTGCTATCAAATTTTCTGGATTTAAATGTATCCCATTAAAACTATGTTGTAGGGCATTCCATAGGAAAAGCTAAACTCATACTATGAATCTGCATTGTCATTAGGGCTTACTCCTGCCTCTATGTCTTGAGGAAGAGTTACTCAAAGGCAGTTTTACTTGGCTTCCTATGCCTAGTAGCTGACACATAGTAGATGTTAAATATTTCTTATTGAAGAAATATTTCAATCATTGTTGAATAACAAAGAAATGGAGATTAAGAAAATGAAAACAGGTTTTAGAGTTGAAAATTAAAGCTAGGGCTTCCCTGGTGGCATAGGGGTTAAGCCTCAGTACTACCGCCACAATGGCCTGAGTTTGATCCCCGGCCAGGGAGGTGACCCATGTGGTACAGCAGAACTCGCCTGTCTCCCCAGTGCTCCCTCAGCAGTTTATTTCAGTAGATCTGCCTATTCTGCTCTCCACTCTGTCTCTGGTGAATCCTCTCCCTCCTGGCACCTCTAGCCTACACCCCAGTTCTTATGTGCATAAATAAATAAAATTAATCTTAAAACAAAAGAAAATTAAAGCTACTCCCTCTCTCTCAAGTTATGAAAATCCCACTATCATTCTGTCATCACAGAGAGAGATCTAAGACCTTCATGTGGTAGCAGGCCCTCCTCCTTGACTTTCACTGACCTCTAAGTCCAGTCTAGCTCTGCACCCTCGTGAGGGTCACAGTGTACTATGACAATGGCCCGCTCTGAGAAATGCCGTGGAACCACAGCTGCGCAGTGACACTTACCAAGGGCTCGAGCTCCTTGCGGTCTATGAGGTTCATCTCTGTGACAAAGTAATAGAAGTGCTTGTAGCAGGTGTTGACGTGGGCTTCGGCACCCATCACAATGACCCGATCGAAGTGGTGGATATACACGTGGACGAAGACCCGGAAAAGGCGGCACAGGATCTTCTTGCAGATCTGAAGGAAGTTCTTTGGGAAGGGAACACCTAGAAAAGTGAACACGAGAAGGGGAAATCATGAGAGAGAAAACTCTTTGGCCCCAGAGCACAAGCATGAGGTTGGTGGACTGTCCTGCACGAAGCTGCTTAGTCAGCATAGATGCCTGGCTCCATATGGACAGCTGAATCAAATGCTGTCTGAAAAAGAATGACTAAAATGAATTAGATTCAAAAGGATTAAATATCACCAACAAGAGGGCTAGGTTTGTTTCTTTAGCTATATTTTTTGTTGCTGATCAACATGCTGAAATAACAATGACAACCAGAGGCAATCTTTCGGGGTAAGACCTATGACTGGTAGAGCCTTTGCTATTTTAAGACAATTCAGAAATCTGGAGTTTTTAGTGAAATGGCTACATCTTCAAAACATTGGCAATTAACCTGCAGTTAAAATAGCAGGGGTTCCCTGGTGGTACAGTAGGTTTAAAGCACAGCACTATGAAGCTATCCACAGCCACTGTAGCAGGAGTTCGACCCCCGGTCAGGGAGGTGACCCACTTGGCACAGCAGACCTCTCCTGTCTCACACACTGCTTCCCTCAGCAGTGTATTTCAATAGATCTACCTATTCTGCTCCCCACTCTGTCTCTAGTAAATCCTCTCAACCTCCATACCTCTGGCCTGAACCTCAGTTCTTGTATGCATAAAAAATAAATCTTAAAAAAAAACAGGAGTGAAAAAAAAAAACCTCTTTCTAGGTTAGATTCTGGCAGCAGGCTAGTTGTACATAAATCCTTATCCAAGGTTTTCCTGAGATAAACTGTTTCTGAGATGAGGAAATTTTACAAATATCATGGATACTTTGTTCACACCTATTACTATTCATTTCATCTCCTTGACAAAGTAGGAGCTCCAGGGACAGAGGGAGTGGTCAGAAGTAGCGCCCAGGTTTCCTGTCTGATGACCACAGCTGCCAAAGTGCAGAGTCACAAGTCCACTTTTCCCCTCTTGAACACATTGTTTAAATGTGTTATTTACACTATCCTTGAGTGGGGACATATTCTAAGTTAAACAGACTTTGAGTTCCATTCTGCTCCTTTCTCAGCTGTAAGAAGTTATTTAACCTCTCTGAGCTTTAGTTTTTCTGTATATAGGATGCAGATGAAAACTCCAGCTTTTATAGGTGGACATTGTTTTCTCATCTGTAAAGGAATCATTCTAAGGCCTTCCTTGCATGGCTTGGAGGGTGTTCACATGAGTAAAATCCTCCTTCAGTGCTTAGAAGGGCTCACTGAATGGGATTGACATGCCACCCCCTGTACTATAAGGTCTGAAACACTTAAATGCTATAAGGAAAATAATTTACCCTCCCCAAGAAAAGGCAGAAGTGATCACCAGCCTTTTTGCAGAATTGCAGAGCCATGATCAGGGCTGGCTCTGGACCTAGAAAGCCTGGAGTATTCTGTCCTTGTCTCTGCAGGATCTGAGTGGCGGCTGTCTGGTGAGAGATGCTGTAATGAGGTCACCTGGGACCCCAAGGGCAGGAGGAGAGATGGACAAGCCTGGCAGTTGGTGAGGCAGGATTTGCTGCCTCAGGGCCTGGTCCTGACACCAGTTTCCTTTAAAACCAGAGTGATAACACATCAAATGAAAGCAAGGGGAGGCAGGGGACAGCCTGGCAGCTGACTGGGCAACAGATGCTGGGAGTTGGGGGAGGGGTAAGGAAAAGCTGAGGAGAAGGGGCACCCTGTGGACAGCGATGGGCTGTATTCTCCACTGAAGAAGGGCCAGCAAAGTCACCCCTGATTCGCTAGTATAGAACCTGGAGTCTCTGAAGAAGTCCAAGCAAAGGAAACAGAATCTCTAAAAGAGGTGCTTTCCCTTTAGAAAGGGAAGCGTGTGATGCTTGTGGTGATAACACCAGGCCTGACGTTGTTACCTCTGCAACCTGTGACTAGGTTTCATTCCTTCTAGTCACTGATGAATAACAGAGATGCTGAAGCAGGAATTAAATTACTCCAGGCCACTGAGCTGCAAAGTGGCAGGGCTGGGATTTGGACCAGGTCAACCCGATTCTAAAATCTGTTAGATCTGTTTGGAGTGTGACCCTCTTTCTGCCAAGGATGGAGGCACAGCTCGACGGCTACATGCAATGAGGCTTCTAAAGGCTCATATCTGGTGCCAAAGAAATACAATTTGCAGAAAGAAAAGGGGTGCAGAGAGAAGGATGAAGAAAAATCCACACTCCTGGGAGCTACAGATCCAGGTACAAGAGATCAACTAACATGCTCTGCTACCTTCAAGATGAAGTGTTTCCTCTGCCCTTGCCTTGGGAAGTAGACCTGCCTGCAGTTGAGCAGAAGTCAACATTTACTTAGCACTTACTGTGTTCTGGGGACTGTCAAGCACTTCACAAGGATTAGGTGACTGTCCTCAGAACAACCCTCGAAGATAGGCCTTACTATTTTTTTCCCTCTTACAGATGAGGAAATAGACCTCATCAGCCAGCAGAGAAGGGGGTTCACCAGGTGTTTTAACTCCAAAGTGCACAAGCACACACTGCCCTGAGATCTGGAGCTGGTGCTCTGGGGTCTGGGGCTGTGCACACCCCTCTAGCTCTGTGGTCCTTCCCTTTTGGTGACCTGAAGCCCCCCTCACTTGTGCTTGCCTCTCACTTCCCTTGACCCCAATCTCAGGGGAGACTTACTACCTGCCAGGGGGCTTCGGGGCTGGAGTGGGGATGGGGAGGTGGGAGTTGTATATGGTTTAAATTAAGCCAGTTCATCAGCTTGACTTCTGGGCCAGCCCCATCCCTGAGCAGTGATAATGTCACTTCAGTTAGAAACAATAACAGGTAACAACTGAAGCTTAGCTCAGTTAAATTATCTGCCTTGGATCTTACTACCTGGATCTACAAGTAGACTAGAGATTTGGCCCCAAAATTCATGCTTGTTCTTCTGTACCCTGTTACTGCAAGCTCTGGGGGCCCAGAAACAAGGCTCCTGATCTGCAATTAGCTCAGTAGCTGGCTTGTAGAAGAAACTCAAAGAATGTTTGTTTGGGTATTTTAAATAAACACAGTCTAGAAGTGGGAATGAATGAAAGTTCCATTGATCATTTCAAATAGACACAGGACTGGATACTGGCAGCCTATAACTGAGGGAGCCCTGCAATGGCCATGGTGGGGTGGGGGTGGGGGGCTGTCAGCTCTCCCCTGAGCACTGGATAGTCACTGTGGTCCTTGGCATCAATGGCCTGGACAGGACCAAATCCAACCTCCTCCTTTTGTCCCTTCTTGAGCTTCTCCTATAGAAAGTGAGATCCATGGCAAAAGAAGAAAAAAAAAAAAAAAAAGGGATTGTGGTTGTGAGAATCAATATCTTTTCAAACATTCTACTTTCATAGCATTTATAAGGTACCTCTGTCTAATAAAGAATCTGAATATTCATGAGGCAAAAAGTTCTATTTAACCCTATGACTGCCTTTTCCTCATAGTATCTGTTGGTTGAAACAGCCTCGAATCACTTTCTGTTTCATTTCTGACTCTAGGTCCTACTAACAATGTAGCCAGGTGAGGTAAGTCCATGCCTCAGTTTCCCCATCTGGAAGAAATCGGGAACAGCAGTGTTATCTGTAGCTCAGGATATTGCTGTGAAGGTTAAATACACAGGCATATATAACGTTTTGCTTAATGCCTTGCTCTCTGATGAACTGTTGATTTTTGTATCTTATTTACCACATGTTCTTCATAATATACCCTGAGATTAAATTTCTCTCACATACTTATTTTGAGGCGAGTAGTCATGTTAATAATCAGCACTGGATTTGCAAAGAACTCAGAGTGGCATCTATTCTGTGACTCACTGGGGTATGTAGTCTGCCTTGTGTTATTTTCCCAAGTTTTTCACATTTATGTCTTGGGTAACTGTAAGTTCCCTGAACAAAGAGATTGTTTTATTCTTTGGTTCTACTTTTAAAAGCACCTGGAACTGGGTTAGAGGGGAGATAATCATCAATCAAAATTGAATCATAAAAACACAGTGATCTTATTTAGTCAAGATGTGAATCCAACATCTTTTAGGGGGAGGGAAAAGTCTAAAGCAGAAATGATACCTTTTTATCAGTCCTGTGGTTCTGACAGCACATCGCTTTGGGTGAGAAGGGAGAACGCTATGAACTAACTTTATGATAAGAACATTTTGATCTAGCATAGGAGGTGGGAAGAAAGAATCTGAAACGCCTCTCTTTAGTATTAAAATATTCCTTCTTTGTCATAATCTAGTTTTTCAGTAGGTGACAGTTAATTTTCAGTGACTGTACTCAATCAGAAAGTTAATGCCAGACAATATTAACTGAGTCTTAACAGAAATAGATTGCATGTTTGAAGGACTGAGAGTTAAACTTTGACTTGTCTTATAACAACTCAGACTAATCGCCCAATAAGAATCCCAGACTGATAAGTATTGATGGTATAGAAAATAACCTTTGGTCAGAAGGTATCTAACTGCTTTCCAGTAGTGGAGTCTCTGGGCACCCCTTTCCCACCCCAGAGCCACATTCCACGACCCTGATGCCAAAAAATTTGGCCAATATGAGAAATGTCTTTATACGAGTGTTCCACAAAGAGGTGATCAACACTCAGGTGTTCTGGGAGGATGCTGGACACTGATAACCTTGGGTCCTGTGTTGTGACTGTCTCTCCTAAGGAGCTAAGAAACCTAAGTCAGGCCAAGGCAGAATTTTCATTCCAGTGTGTCAGGCAAGATGCCTAGGCAGAGGTCTGAATCCCAAACCAATCATTCCTATGTGGTTCCGGGAGGAATCTGCTCAACAATTTGACTCAAAGCAAGACTAGAGTTTGCCAGACCATCAGGCCATGGACAAAGCAGTCCACAGAATGAGGGTGAAGACAGAGGGTGAAGTAAGACTGTGTGGCCTGGGGTCTGTGCTGTAGGCCTGACATGACAGCCTCGCAGTTCTGCTGCTCACAAAGACTTGGTGCTGAGCCGGGAACCAGCATCTGACAGAGCCCTGCAGAGTTTATGGATG